ACAGTGCGTGCGCGCGAATTTCGAATTCGAACATACAAATGTATATCTCACTCAGCATCCGCTCTTTTTGTACCGAACTCGATTTTACTTCACAAAGAATCACACCAATGTCGCCAATCAACGGTCGTAGCAGGGCCACTTGCGATTTTCGTCCGTGGAGAATGCAAGGGCGACGTGTGCGATGCGACACGGGAACCGTAGTTCAGTGTTTCTCAAACTTCTCCAGCTTTTTTATGCCGAATCTCAATACACACCGATCTTTCTAGAAACTCGAGCGCCGGAGGAGATGAAGACGACGCGCGAAGAGGACGCGACGAGGCGAGGCGAGCGTGTCGCGCGGGCCGTGCAAATATGGCGCGCGACACGTAGGATAAATTAAATCTAATTAGATAGCGTAGTGTAAAATGTGAGGAGAGGAGAGCGCGGCACCTAACGTAAAAAAAAAAAAAAAAAAAAAACGACCGCATTTTTATGTAGCGGAGTGTTAACTCGAACTTAGAAGATACTTTTTCTAGAGAGAGACGACCCTCGGCCGAGGACGGCCGACGGACGCGACGAAGTGCTCGGTTTTAAGAAACACTGCCATAGTTTAATTGCGGAATTTTAACGCTAGTTAATTAGTGTTAATGATAAAACGCTGGTACCCGATCGCGCGAAAGGGCAGCGTGCGAAAAGTTCGCTTGGATAATCGATCGACGTTCTCCCCGGCAATTCCGATATCTGCGAAGCGAAGAAGACACGATGGAGAGACACGAGAAAGAATTGTCGGCTCGATTGTAACGTGAGGCGCGATATAATATTGACGTTGTATTATATTAAACTTGTGATAAAAATACTAAACGTTTTGAGTCATCGCGACGTTTTAGATAAGCCAAGTGCGTAAGCGAAGCGATACGATCGTCCCTTTTGTCATCGTGGCTTTTGATCTTGGGACACTTCAGGAGATCGACATGTTTTTCGAATTGTTTAATGATTTTACAAGAGATTTTACAAGAAGAGAGAGAGAGAGAGAGAGAGAGAGAGAGAGAGAGAAGTTAACTTTTGGGAGAGAGAGGGAGGAGAGAGAGCAAAAAGCGGTAAAGAAATTTCATTAACGGCGTTCATTCTTCGACAACCATGATATGCAATATAAAAATTGAGTATACTGAGCAAAGCAGCGAAAACCATCTGTCCTAGTCCTAGTATTCGAATTCATCACCATAATTTATAACCAATTTCAATTTAAATCTAATAAAACGATGTTATATAATAATACCAATACGTGTTCGTCAATTGCTGGATCCTCAACAAACCTGTCCCAAACAAGAAGAATCTTCGGAAACGTATACCTTCACAAATATCTCCTGCTAAATATTTTATTTTATAATAATATCAATAATTCTTGAAAACAAGCGCGAGAATTAAATACTGATTATTATTTTCTAGGTTTTTTTATCACTACTTTTTGAAACGGTCTCTAAATAATAGAGAAAAACGAGAGCTATTCCTTTTACATATGCAGGATCGTTATCTTTGATTTATGCGACCTTGGTATTCCCCTTGGTGTGACTTCCTGATAAAAAATATTCAAATATTTCAAGCTAATACAAACGCGATAGTTCTCGTGCGATCAACAATCAAGCAAACGAACGAAACATTTAAATTTGCAATTGCGGGATATCTTGTCGATATCCTCGCATCGAGAAGACTTGTATACGATATTTCCAACCAACTTTCCCCGCATTATCGTCTCGTAATAATTTTTCGGGAATAAAATGATTCACGATTCCGTTGTATGTTTTATGACTTTTTTATTGAATGAGTCTAACCGTTATCAAGAAACAATGTTGTGTCTGTCGTACATGTTTAAAAACTGGTCTTTATTAAAATCTTTTATGCGAATATAATCAATGATATCAGTGACCGTCAATGGTGATTTCCTCTTTTCTTTTTTTTTTTCTTTCAATTTATAATGCGCATTCCCGCGATTTTCTTTTTGCTCTTGCGAAGATTGAACCGCAGGTCTGTCCGTTGAGTTGCACCTTCTGCATCTCTTAACTTTCTTCCTCCCGTTTTCCTCCCGTCTCCTTAGGTCCGAGTGTAACGCTTCGTATCTCGTTTGTAACACGAGTGGTGCATCTGAAACGAACAGACCTTGCGACCTTGGACCGATATCATGTCGACACTCATGATGTATTTGCCGCGCGGATAATTTTTAAATTTGTCAGAGAAATGTATTGTCGCGCGCACAATTGAAGCACAGATTCTCTGTGCTATGATTCGCTAAAGAAAATTCTTTCGGCGTGAATAAAGACGCAATCACGTGTGGCTATATTCGATATTAATTGTAACGTATTGTTTAAAATAATGGAGTTTCCGGCGATCAGCGGTGCAGCCGATACATCATGAGTCGACACGGTTACATGAGAATATCTTCCGTTTCGTAATTTCTTCCAGACTCCTTGGATAAAACGACGACTCCGATCGTCCGCCATACTCGCGGATTATCTTACTCGGTTTTGTTCGTAGAGCGTTGTAAAATCAAATTATAGGCCTCCTAACGATAAGATAAATAGGTATTATAATCTTGGAGCCGCAGAGATTTGTAGAAGTCTCGTTATTTAACTATTCGGCAATGAATTATCTCTTATTATCAATGATGATGAAAATTCATACAGGCATTCTTGTAGGCGGCCTTGTTGGTTGTCGATTCGCCGGTCGTTAGAAAAATTGTGTATTATTTTTCGACAGTAACGTCTACGTGTTTCTCAAATACATCATGTATAATTTGTAGAAATATCGAGAATATCTGACAATACATACAATTTATCATCCTTCTGCGGATTAAAATATGGTGTGTTTTTTTATGGCTTCTCACGAAATACCTACAAATCTCCACGACTCCTATAAACTAAGAGCGGTGTATCGTGTATAATATTTTAGGGGTATTATTAGCTAGGTATAGGTAAACATTGCCTATGTACAATCGCAACAGAGTTGCGTATACTACTTCTTGGCAATCCTAAGTAAAGCTTACAGTTTGAATAAACTTCTTTAGGTAATTATGTGTGTATATGTGTGTGTGTGTGTGTGTGTGTGTGTGTGTGTGTGTGTGTGTGTGTT